GGGTTTTTTTTTGGTTTTTTTTTGTATGTTTCCTAGCTGACAAAGACATCGAGGCGACTTTGCGTGCATCCCGAAAGGGGAGTGGAACCCGCGCTACCGGCCACAAGGAACACGGACGGAGGGCTCCCGGGAGCCAGACGTCGCCCGCATGGACAGCGAGGTGCTGACCCCGCGCAGCAGCCGGTGAAAGGCGGCCGCGGCGCCAGGGCCCCGTGCACAGGGCTGTAGGAATCGGTTACCCGTAGTATCGGAAAGCGTTGATGATCCTCCGGAAATGCTCCCGCTCCAGCCGCTCCTCCTCCGCCTCCTCCTCTCCCCTAGCCGCCGTAGCCGTCCCCGCCAGCGCTCTCGGCTCCTGCGCCTGCCGCCGCCTACGCCCGTCCCCGTCTCCCGGCGATGCTGCCGGCGGCACTTCGGTGTCGACGCCACCTGCACCCTCCCCCACCCAGGACAACTGCTCCCACTCCTCACGGTGTCCCTGCCTCAGCCTCCTGCGCATCGCCTTGGCCGGAGGATCGCGCTCGCCCGGCGGCAGCGGCGGCTGTGCTTCAGGGGACACGGCGCACGCGGCCGACATCCCCTCACCTACCGCCGCCAACGGCCGCGGCCAGCGCACGCTCCCTCGCTCACTTCCTGTAGGGAACATCGCGAGAGAACAACGGCGGGCGGGGCTGGAGGAGACCTGTAGCGGGAGCTCGGCAGGCCCAGGTGGCCCGACTAACGATAGAACAGCCCGGGCCGGGACGCCCTTCTTCGGGCGGGCGCCTCTTAAAGGACGCCATGCGCATGCGTCAGCGGTGGCAGAAAGGGAAGGGCGCCTCGCTGTGGAATAACCTCAGCCTTTGTGAAAGGGCATGGTGGGGCGGCCGCATGGTGGCCGTTCCCCAGGAACGGCTTTGGCGCGTCTCGGCAGAGGTGCGTGCTGCGCGGCTTTTCCGGGCCGTCATCCGAAGCATGAAATACGAGTTCAGCTGTAGTTGAGCGCGGCTGCGCCTGCTCGGCTGTTCCAGGGTGCGCTGCAGCCCGCGGTGCTGCGTAGAAAGGAGCACCGGGAGGGGCTGCGGGGAGAGGAGAGCGAGGAAGGACGTTAAGCAGGGCCTAGCAGCGCGTGAGGCGCAAGGTGCTGGATTTCCTCACAGTAACACTTTGACCCCGAAGACGATCGAGCACATCTTCCTCCCCGCGACACAACTTATCTGACCGGGCGTCGACACCTTTCGTGTGTGCTGTGGCAAGTCGCAGTGCACCTCCAGCTTGCTTTAAGAGGTCTCCTTTATGCAGAGGGTTGACCAATCATCCTCCTTCCTAGGTTTGAGAGCCCAGAGAAGGCTGTCCTACTAAATTCTATCTGAAGACATGCAGGGGGGAGTGGTTGTTTTTTCAGTAAACCAAGTAATGTAAGAGGGGAACGGAAGAAAAGGGGTTTTGGCATTCTGACCACCTCTCTCTGGAAAAAGGAGTACCAGTCTTCCAACAGAAATCCTCTCAAAGTTTTCCAGTTTTCCTCACTCTCACACTATTCTTGCTCTCTCGACAGTGTGTTACCTGACTGGATGGTTCTGACTACAGAGATGCTCAGTGGCAAGTGCCATAGATAAACCATCAGACATCATCCTCAGCTGGATGGACAAAAGAGGTGTTGTTCTGAAGGGCACATGAAGTAGTTTCAGAACATAGGAAACTGATTCTGAGAAATCTCGAGGAACTGGCCAACAAAGTTGAGAAGCAGGTATTTATTGCGGTGCCTGGAGACACAGGGAATAGCTGCTTCTAGCGTGTCTCTCCTGAGCATCAGCCAGGCTGTGATTATATTGTCCCTAAACATACATATTCATTAGACTACATACATATTCATTGAGTTACTTATACATTACATCATAAAACATTGTACCGCACCTTCAACAATTCGATTTAGAATCGTTTTCGTATCAGTAACCACCAGGCTGGTCCCCATTTTTCAAAAACGTGTGTGTGTGTGTGTGTCTGTGAGACAAAACCAGCATCTGAATCGATACACAGTGTAAACATCAGAAATAACAGCTTTTAGACTTCGAAGGTTAGAGGAGCAACAGCTCTTCAAGGTAAAAAATTTGTTCCAACTGCATCAGTGTTCATGGTGACTACATTGTCATGTTCTTTCCCTTATTTTGACATCATGAAGAAATCACCTTGATATCAATCTAAACCTGTACTTGCATTTCAGTCCTTCTTAGATATAAGCCATTAGACTTGCGTAGACCACCACCCTTTCTATTACCATGTTTCTAAACATGCAAGACACTTATCAAAGCTTTCCTTCTGCTATGATAGCCTGAAGTTGCAGCCAGCAGAAGATACCACTTCCAAAAGCCCACTCTTTCCTCCCGCCCTGCAGCTCTCCCAAACTACTTTCTTTACAGGGTGCACAGCCCTGGCAGTGAAAAGGCAACTGCTAGGGGCAAACTAGATTTTTCCTGTCAGGGGCTGTACTACTTTAAAAGCAAAAGCATTCTACCAATATACCAACTTTATAACGGCACCTGAAAGACTTTATTTCCCAAAGAGACTCAGAAGAGATCATTGTCTTTTCTCCCTAAGGTGAGTTCCTGTAGCAATGATGAAGAAAACATGCAGTTTAAGCACCATGGGTGACCCTGGCCAGTTTTGACTTCCCATCCATGGTAGAGCCCTGCCTGTTTCTTTTATTGATTCTTATGTGCTGGGGTCAATGAATCTTCCCTTTTGAACTTGCTGGTACTGTCTGCCTCCTATGGCATTAAATCTCAGAAGCTCATTGTCTGCTGTGTGAAATACCACCTTAATAGAATTGGTCAATCTGTTTCAAGTGAAGGAATGTCCCCTAAAACTAGTATTCATACAATCTGGTGAATACTAGTTCTGCATCCACTTGACTCAAAGCTTTCAAGGTTTTGTAAACCTTGCCCTTTTCTCACCTCAGCCTTCTCCTCTCCAGAATGACAGCTTCCAGCATTTTTCACTTCTCCTGACAAAGTGGCTGCTCTGTTCCCTTGATCCTGTTGACTTGCCTTTCTTTTAACTCCACTATGGACTTCCTCCAGATGTAGCAACCAGAACTGCACAATACTGAAAATCTGGGTCCACCAGTTTTACACACGAACAAACAGCACCACCTGTTTTGTTCACAACACCCATAAGATGTGTATGTAATATTTTGATGCAGCCCTGCACCATGGGGATTGTTTCAGAAAAATTCTTAAAGATCTCTGCCCTGAGCTGTAACTACAAGTTGCTGAATTGCAAGCTCAATACCATGTATATTCTGATAAATGATATATATCACAAATACATAAATCTGTACTGGAGCACATCTACTCCTTTTGCCCATGGAAGTGTTACCTGGCAATGAAGAAGTTAAGATTTTTGTAAAGGACAGTCTGTGCAGGCTTGAAAATCTTCAGTTTAGAACTGAACAGAAACATGTGGCAAGGAAAAACAGTTTCCTTACAAGCTCATAGACTTTGAGGAGAGGCAGGATACTGACAAATGAACCATCTGCATCAGAAAAAGAGTAACCAGAAAGATTAGGAAGGCAGAATTAATTTTGAAAAGCCTAGCCAAACAGGAGGTAACTGTGTTCCTAAACTTGGTTCATTAAAAATCACACCGCCTGAGAGAAAGAGACCCTTGCTCACAGAGACCCTTCCTCAAGGAACACGTGGTGAAATAAATATATACTGTGCCTTTAAACAGAGGAGAGAATGAAAAAGCCAATGACAGTAGTTACACTCTTACGTATATGGAAAATACTGATTTTCACTGTTTGAAACATAAAGTGGACATCTGGCAGACTGAGGGTGTGCCAGCTTTGTGGAATTACCACCAAAGCACCCATGTCTGCATAGAGACAAAATAAACATCTCCACTCTGTGTGTTAATCTCCTCTCTGTAAACTGTATGAAGGACCCTGATTTTGGGACAACAGAAGGATTTCACAAAACTGAGCTCCTGAGCTCCTTGCCACTGGAGTAGTGTTGGACTACTTCAGAAAGCATGGTATCAGCCCATTAAATCTTAACCCTTTACTTCCTATCCATTTCAAATCATAAAAGGATACCTTGTGTTCCTCTGGAACCAACATGATCACTTTAATTTCTACTCAGACATTTCTCCATGTAAGAAAATACTTAAGAAGTTTATCAAAGGGGACCCAGACACATCTAAGTGTCATGCAGGGATGGGAAAAGCAAGAATAAAAAATTTCTTCCCTTCACCCACTGTATAGGGTTTGTGGGGCAAGGTTTTGGTTGCAGGGGGGCTGCAGGGGTGGTGGCTTCTGTAAGATGCCAAAAGCTTCCCTTCTGCCTGATAGGACCAGTGCCAGCGGGCTCCAAGATGGACCCACCTCTGACCAAGGCTAAGCCCATCAGTGGCCATGGTAGCACCTCTGGGATAACACACTTCAGAAAGAGGAAAAGTTACTGCACAGGAACAACTGAGGGAGGAGTGGAAATATGTGAGAGAAACAGCTCTGCAGACATCAAGGTCAGTGAAGAAGGAGCAGGGGCAGATACGCTGTGTGCCAGAGCAGAGATTCCCCTGCAGCCCATGATGAAGACCGTGGTGTTATAACCAAAAAGCAGGTGTGGATCCCACAGGGACAAGGTACAGCGATCAGCAATGAAACCTTTGGCTTTAAGGAAAGCATAGCTTTAAGAAGCATAGGAGCTCAGGAACACAGACACTAATCAAATGGGGACCTAACACAGTGAAGCCCTCCCAGAGGGTGAAGCTCAAGGGAAAGCACTGTAAGGGTGGGTAATACAATCTGCACTGATTAACATGTTACACTTATGTAATGCCCTGTTTTGCTCATTAGTGAACTTGCTGATGTACTGCAGGTGGTAGAGCACCTTGGGGGGCACCTGGTAGCTACCCAAGGTCAACCCCCTGGAACCATCCAAGTATTAGCTAATCTCTCACAGTTGCCCCCTTCCAAAGGGAAAGAGAACCAAAAATACAGTTGAAAGTCAGACAGCCCATCAAATCTCTCTTGAAGTATTTTTACTGCAAAATTATAATACAAAATAGTACTTGGAAGCACTTTGTCTGAAACAGAAGCTTCACACAGCTCTACTCTTTTAACAAAATCTTTATATATACAGGTTTATGACCCTTAATACTGTTAACAATAAAGCATTACATTTCAATCACTGATCAGTTCAGCTGACACACAGTATATAGCCCATATATATATATAGCCATTGTTTGCTTTTCATGTCTGTGGCTTGATTTCTATTCTAGCTGGTAAGTTTTCAAAGAAAATGTAAGAGTTCATAAATTATTCAGCCACCATAAATGATTAAACTTTCCAGTTTTCTATTTTATCTAAATACACAAATTCTACAAAAAAGCTTCAACATTCATTTCACAGGCTGCTTTCTGAATACATTTGTTACTGTAATTTCAACCTGAGCTATGACTATTAACCAGAATTATTTCTTCCCTCTTCCTCCTCCGTGATGCGCACATTTATTGTAGTAGTCTCTGCCACCCCAGTCCTTGATTTTCACACAGTACATGTACTTGATGTCATTAGCAATGCATCTGTATTCTAGCCTCCATATTGTTCCCCCATCTTTTCCCAACAACCTGACTTCTCTTCAGGTTTGTTTGGATTTTTTTAAATACCCACTCCTAACTGCTCAAACCAACATACAACATAAAAATTAAAAATTACTTGGCAAACACCAGAGGTGTTTAGCAAGTAAGTTCAGTTATATATTCAATAACAGTTTCTGTTACTGAGTAAGCAGTGTAACACTTCATACCATCTTCAACTTACTGCTGCCACAACATACAACCAGTTCATCTAACCATGCTTATTGGTGATTAGCAGCTCATAAAATTAATCACTGTCCTTTGTATATGAACATTTAAAATTGTACTGATCCATGCTCAAATATGTTTATTAATACAAAAGAACTGCATCTTTCTAGTTTAGTTTTGTATACAAAAATATGTTTATATTCTGTAAAATGTACACATTCAAACAAAGGTCAGCCAAAGCATGACTGATTAAAGAAATTCTCAATAATAATGCAGTGTTAATATTACTCAACAATACCTGAGGCTTACAGACTCAGTAATCACTACAAATCTACTTGTATTCTCTGAATGAGTATTATAAACATACATTAACATCTGCTCAGTTGGTTGGCTTGCCAAATACGACAGTCTTGGGGCTTCCAGTTCGCATCAGACAGAACCCAAGCTTTCTATGTTATCATACTGTGACCTGCTGATCTAAAAGATAAAAACCATAAATTCAACCTGTAGTGTCATTTCTCAGTTTGCACGTGACATCACCGCATATTAGAAACTAATACCAACACCACATCTGTTTGCACGTGACATCACTGTATATTAGAAACTAATACCAACAACACGTTTGCACGTGACATCACTGTATATTAGAAACTAATACCAACAACACATCTGTTTTCACTAATGCTTTGCCCCATATTCCTTCGCTTCCCCGCTTTTTTTTTAATATTTTATCATTAGATAGCACTGGATCCACCTATTATTTCAGAACATCCAATTTCAAGGAACTTAAAAAGTTATAGCTTATGATGACTTAAAGTAATGGGCAAACATGTATAAGGACTGTGTGTGATACATAAGGGGATATAGATCTACATAATCCTTGCAGTATTTTCATATAAAAGGATTAGCTTTTTGTTAACATGGAATGGAATAAGCACATTCAATTTCCAGTAACATTACTTACTTTCTTCCCTCAGCTTTTTTAATTCCTGTATTATATCACTATACAAACTGGATAAAAGCTCCTCTTGGGATTTTGTTCCATCCAAATAAACTAAGAAAGATGAAAGAAAGTTTTCGTGAGTTCTGTGCCAGTTATTTCTTAATAGCAATTGGCAAAGGTTTTGGTATTCCTGTGAGTGCTATCAGAAGAGATGAAAAAATAAACCCCAAGAACAGTACCTCCCTTTCCTTCATTCACAAGCTTGTTCTAGATGTTAAAAAATGGTAATAACATTAGGACAGTAGAATAAGGGTGCCCATGCAGTCGAAGACCTCAGGTTATTCCTCAGCTTTAGGGTTTTGGCAAGTCAAGGAAAGGCATCACAGTTTCCATTCTCACTGCACAGTAAGATGTGTGTGCTGATGAAGTAGCCACTTGAATTCTCCCAGTGGGCAGTCCAAGAGCTGTATAGCTGTGAACATTACACAAGCTCATGGTGGCGCCTCATCAGCAGGCGCAGCTTTGAAACTTCACATGCAAGACTGGTGACTGTAGTGCACAGTCATATGTAAGACACTAGGAAGTGTCTTAAGTGACTTAACCAGGATTTCAGTTATGATCTGAAGAACCCTGACAATGCATCTGCTGTCACCTCAGAAGCTTCCTATTTAGCCACACATATATGTGCTAGCTCGTTACATACACCATACAAATGTGCCATTTAAAATAATAGCTTGTTAAATGGGCTTAGTAACCAGAAGCTTCGTATTTTTTTTAACTTTGTAACTTTTATTATTAAAAAAATCCAACTCCCATATAGATTTAAAAAATAAAATAGCAAAAGACCTAAATTTACTGTCCAAGTGCCACAAAAACAAAGAGAACTTTGTCCTATTCAAAAAAAACCAACCCACAGCCCAATGATAACTGTGTAAGCGCCACACTTCAGCATTTTCTAAGTTTAAAATTAGGGATACCATACCAATGTTACTTGCATTCTCTTCCAATTCACTTTTATATTTCAGATACATAGGCCATACGTGTCCATCGAAGTAACCCGGTGTATCTGCTGGCTGATAGACTCTGGTGCTACACAAAAATATATTTGCTTTTACATTTCCCCCTAGTGTCAGCTAATTTAATAACAGCATCTATCCAAAATAAAAATTAAAAAAAAAGACTGGCAGGCTGTATGAATATTGGAGCAAAGGAGGCTCCTTTGTTTTAATACAATCTGTGATACAGACTCTTGCTAACTTACCTATTTCTGCCAATCAAGTTACATTTAAGATAAGGTAAAAGTTGTGGGTCTGGGGTTTTGTTTAATTGAAAAAGGTATTACATGTAACTTAAGCTGTACTGAAAGTGTTACATAGAATCACAGAATCATAGAATAGTTAGGGTTGGAAAGGACCTTAAGATCATGTAGTTCCAACTCCCCTACCATGGGCAGGGACACCTCACACTAAACCATGTCACCCAAGGCTCTCTCCAACCTGGCCTTGAACACCACCAGGGATGGTGCATTCACAACTTCCCCGGGCAACCCATTCCAGTGCCTCACCACTCTTACAGTAAAGAACTTCCTCCTTATACCCAATCTAAACTTCCCCTGTTTAAGTTTTAACCCGTTACCCCTTGCCCTATCACTACAGTCCCTAATGAAGAGTCCCTCCCCAGCATCCCTATAGGCCCCTTTCAGATACTGGAAGGCTGCTATGAGGTCTCCACGCAGCCTTCTCTTCTCCAGGCTGAACAGCCCCAACTTCCTCAGCCTATCTTCATAGGGGAGGTGCTCCAGTCCCTGATCATCCTCGTGGCCCTTCTCTGGACTTGTTCCAACAGTTCCATGACCCTTTTATGTTGAGGACACCAGAACTGCACACAATACTCCAGGTGAGGTCCCACGAGAGCAGAGCAGAGGGGCAGAATCACCTCCTTCGACCTGCTGGTCACGCTCCTTTTGATGCGGCCCAGGATACGGTTGGCTTTCTGGGCTGCAAGCACACACTGAAGCTGGTGCACGTTCACCTTCTCATCGACCAACACCTCCAAGTCCTTCTCCACAGGGCTGCTCTGAATCTCTTCTCTGCCCCAGCTGTAGCTGTGCCTGGGATTGCTCCAACCCAGGTGCAGGACCTTGCACTTGGCATGGTTACCAAACCAAATGACTTTTTGGGGGGTTTTGTTGTTTGTTGTTTTTCAGGTTTTTTTTTGAAATATTCAGTATACAGATTTCCAAGTTTTAAATAACTAGGGGTTTTGCCTAGTCACATCCATCATTCAGCCTGGACACTAAAGTGCTTAAAGGTGAGTCTAATGAGAAACCAACAAAGTGAAATCAACCAAATCCTCTCCAGCAGATTTCTTCCCTCAGCCAGCAGATTCTGACTGTGTGCACATCTGCTGCTCCAAGCACACAGTATTGTGCCAGATTTGTAGACAATTCAGACATTGGCTCAATAATCAAGATATAAGGTGCAAATAGTGCACACTCTAAACAAAGCATACACTAAAACTGCACAAGAATATTGTTACTTTAGCAATAATCATCATGTGCTATAGTCAACCAAAGATAAGACTGCTTAGTATTTTTTAAACTGTTTCTCATTTTAAACATGGTTTAACTCCAATATGCAGTCAGTAATCTAAATAATTTAAAATCATTTATTTGGACAAGTTGTTTTTGTAGTGCTTCTAAAACATTTTAGTATCTCTGTGCTCTAATATAAATAAATAAATCATAATGATAATAAAAAGCCCCAAACTAAACCATAAACCAAAACAACCCCTCCCCCATCTCAGCATGCTTTTGTTAATGTTCGTTAAATACCCACACAGTCTTCCCTGTGAATCACAGAGGACAGATGATGTTAATAGCTTACACTTTGCAAGAACCAAAATAAAACCAGTATAAAAGAACCAGTCCAGGTTAGGGGGCACAGTCACCCTCCATGAGCAGCAACTTACCTCCTTCTCCTTTTGCACTCTTCGTAAGGAAGGGTCAAAAAATATCTTCTATTCCATAGTTCATTAAGTGGCCTAAGAGAATAACATGTTTAGTTCCGTCTTCCTTTTTAATGTGGCTTTAATATACCAGGTTACATATTACTGCTTACTCATAATTGTATAGCAGAAAGCCTTCAACAATCAAAATATAAACAACATCTGTATTTTTCAGATTGTCACATGTATTTTGTGGCTCTTCTGTCACAACACCTGAGCTTGCTGGGCTTTTCATCCAATTGCGAATACTTTTCACCATTTCATCCATATAAAGGGCATCAAGTACTGGATGGAAACAGAAAGTTAGGCATCCCTAAAAAAAAAAACATTAAAAAGCCCTCAAAACCTAGGTTAGTTGGTAAGAATCAAATAATCTACATACAAATCTAAATGAAAGGGAACAGGATTACCCCCAAATATCTCTCACACATATGAGTAGTTTCATGTTTGCAACTGATGATACCCTGAAACTAAAGCTTTCACCAGGACTGAGATATTTTGGTGGTCTCTCTGAGTTCTGTAGCACCAGAAGGTGTGTGAACACACTTCATAGCCTTTCCCTGACAACAGAAACAGAAGGGACCGTTCCCATATTCCGCAAAACTTGTAAAAAAACTTACTTACCCTGAGACCTGTACCCTTCTGACAATTGTCACTGACACAGGTGAAGGGAGCAGGAGCTGAAAACATTTTGCTTTGAGTTTTTATTGGGTTCGGGTATTTGGAAGGTGGGGATGGATGGATGAATTGAAAGGAGAATGCAAAACAGCACAATGTAGCACCTGTTTTGTCTGTAGACATGTAAGAACACACTGAGTAAGTACTGAAAGGTATAGAGAAGACAGCTTTTGGGTAACAGAAGAGCAAACACATTTTAGAGGAGGTTTTAAGAGCAGCATTAAAGCTACAGACTTGAAATAGAATGTCCAACTTAACCCTTCAGTTTCACATTCCAATTTCATGAAGTCTAGAAATTGAGCTAAAGACTGCATAGCTGAGAAAGAGTCAGTTTTCAGAGACAATTTAAGGGTCTGGCCAATATTCTGAGTAATACATTTTGTGACCATCAAGTATCCACGGAGATTAGCCAATAAGCAACTCTTCACAACTAGATATGACCTGAACCAAAGCACTAGCCTAAAGTGGATCTGGATCTAGAAGTTTATAAAATTAAATTGGCACACTGAGCCAGAATTAACCATGAACTTCATCTGGTCTCTATGTGTGATCTGATACGAAATAATGGTGTCAGGATCAGATCCAAGTTTTGACTGATTTGGAATAAGACAATGAAAGACACTCAGTGGAGAGTAAGAAGTGCTGAAGCTAGGCATAAGAGAATTTCAGTACAACATTCAAAGCAATGCATCAAAGTTACTGACCATCATACAGCTTAAATCCACGTTCATCTGTTTCTACTTCAGACTCTGGCTGAAGAAGCAAAAAAAAAAAAAAAAAAAGAGTATTTTCAAGGCTGCTTTTATGACCACTGTCACAGATACACACTTTCACACTTTTCAGTCACAAACATGGGGGTTATACACTTTTGTATCCCAAGTGATTAAATTTATCTTCAAAATTAAAATGCTGTATAAAACTGTTAAAACAGAATACAAACACAAAAATATTGTTTAATCTGGAACAAGAAATTCTCCCAGTCATACCTGACAAGTTCATTAGAGCTTTACTTCAGAAATAAGAGCTCCTTCACTATCCTTAACAAACAACTCCAATGTCAATGCAAAAGTTGTCCTTCTGTTTTGATTTTAGAGACAAAGAACTACCAATTGCTATACAGGTGTAAAGTTAACAAAATTTCATTAACTTCATTATCACAAAGTATCTTGAAAAAGATCAAAGAAGACAACGGACTTCTTTTTGCTGAGTATATTCAGTGGTTCTTGCTACTGAAAGTTCAATTACCCCAGTGCTCATTTTATTTCTCTTTCTCATGAAGTTAACATTATTTTAAGCAGCATCAATTTTAAAAGTTTATCACTAGGGGAACTGAAAAGAGAAGTTATATTAAAACCTACGCAAGTCTACCTTTACCTATCAGGTTTTTCCATCAGTACAGTTACCTTAAAGAAGTCATCTTGACAGATTATATCACAATTGGGAAGCATTTTCTTAAGCTTTTCTGCCAGTGTTGTTTTCCCCCCATTTGTTACACTGAGTTAGAAAACAGGAAAAAATGCATCAAGACAAAAATCAGTATTTTAAACATATGTACATGCTAACACACATATTTATGTATAGTTAGACACAAACAAACAATCCTCCTCCTTAAATCTCACCCCCAAAAAAGTTTATTCCCATTAAATACTAGCTAACTCTGAAAGGATTCAATAGCTTTCAGACAATAAATCTAGCAGTGCCAGGAAAGAGGTTAGACAAAGGTGGTACCTGAGATCTCAGAGACAACATTTAACTGCTCTTTTGAGGGTTACATGTTATAAGCTGAGACCATTACATGTTGTATTTGTAATACACTTTGAAAAAACACAGAATCATAGAATAATTAGGGTTGGAAAGGACCAGAAGATCATCTAGTTCCAACCCCCATTCATTCAGAAATAGAGATTACATCACTTCATTCTGAAAGGAAGACCAGTCTTTAGATGTAGAGGAAATTTAATTGCTAATACTTACCCTCCAAGGCCAATAACCAATACCTTCATGGTTTTTCTCCTCAGTTCTTGCTTTTCACTATCAAAAATAGTAGCCAGAGAAAACTCTTAATTCAGCAACAAGGAAAGCAGCTATTGTATTAAGAAATATCAATTACAGATAAAACTTAACTTTTTTTTTTTTTTCTTTTTGCAAGGCTAATGCCAGAACCACAACTGCTTGTTCTAATGCTGACAAAAAAAACCTGCAACATACATGCCACATCACAGATTTACCTTAGTATATTAATCATTTGGGGGGAACTCTGACACTCAGTTCTACCAATATTAATACCACAAGGTCCCTCAAGAAAAGCAGTCACTAGATCAAGCACTAATGGTATAAAAAAGATTGGGTAAATAGAAGCTGTGGTGGCAAAACAAGCAAAAAGCTTAAAAAAGAAAGAAGTGACATGCTGAGGAGAAAGATGTTTTAAAAATTTCATGAAGAGTTATAACAAAGAGTACACTCAAAGACTCTTCTATGAGCCTTGTCTTAGCAGTGTGAGAATTCACCACTGCGTCGTGAGACTTAGCAGCGCTGACCATACAAGTGCTTCTCTTCTGCCCCACCACAGAATAATCTGGAGTCATCACCTCTATTGTAAAGGCACTTTGGCCGTTGTAGCTGACTTAGCACTGAGATGGACTAAATAGCTATTGATCTTCTTCAGAAAAGAGCAAAGACTGAAACCCTGGAAAAGGTTACATTTGTTTACCCATACCCCTGTGGCTGCCAAGTAACCAGCCCTGGGGCTGTGGCTGGCTGACCACCTTCAGTGGTCAGAGCTGCCAGAAGACACAACCCTGCCTTTCCCTGACTCTTCTCAGAACTTTCTTCTGTAGCAGGTGTTTGAAGAGTCCATAGTGAACTACACTAGAAAACTACTGCAGCTGAAAAAACAGTTCTGCAAAGGAGGAGGGAAGGGAAGAATGTTAAGTTTTCAGCAGCGCAAATTCCTGTTTACCATCCATTTAACTGTGCCTGTAAAGGTATGGTGCAGCAGAAAGACAGGCAGTAATGGGGATGCTTCTCTTGGCAGCAGCGCTGGTCTACAGAGTTTGTCAAACCAGTTTAACATTTGCCAAACATTGCTTTCCACGAGCATAAACCCATAACTATTTAACCACATGCAAATACCCTCGTTTTCACCTGGTCAGTCCTCCTACGTCACGCTTAGGGATGTAAAGCCTATGACACCTAAGACTGAAAATTACTATTTCCCCTCCCCAGCAAGCCAGTATCTGTATTTAAGGCATCAGTTTGAAAGTAAAACCACACTATTTCTGTGAAGGTAAGTTTCAGACACAAAGTTTGCATTTGGTGCAACAACTGCAAGTTCAGCTGTTTCTGAGGTCTGTGATGTGATCTTTGCATGTTTGCTTTAAGATTTTTTTCTGTTAAAATAAAATAAAATGACATACTGACTAGCCCAAGTCATCACCAGTGTGATAATGTTCCTCTGTGTACCTGCAGTAGTTGGCACTGGGAAGTTTTTAAGTTAGCATGCAAGGGTTTTCTAAGAGCACTGTCATTGTCAAGTTCAACAATGCATCGCATGTTTGTGGTATTGGCTATCTATCTGGAGAGTGCAAACACATGATCTTTTCTGAGGAAGCAGTGATACTCAGTCCACTGAAAAACAAAGATCTAAAGATCACCAGTAAGGTTTGTGTGCCAGAAGATTAGCCTTTGTCCCACGAAAAATGCTATGTAACAAACTAGACAACATCTGTACACACATGCTGAGCTTTGGACTCTAATTTACGTCACCGTCTATACGAAAGTTAATCCCAGCTTCAGGCAAAAAAAAAAAAAAAAAAGCAGGATGAAAAAGCCCACCAAAGCCCACCAGAGCTCTTTCTCCCCCCCCCTCCCCCCCGAATAACGTGTAGCACCAATTGCAACGACAGTCACCAATGTTGTAACACTGAACTCCTAAACTACCTGGTCTCGGTTTAGTATCTTTAAACAGGACATAAACCTATGCTAACCCCAACAAGGAACCGCTTCCACCCTAACTTTTTTCAACAGCGCGATGTAGCTGCAGCACGCGGTGACAGTCGAGGTATGCTTCCTCCCAGGCCCCGCCACCGCCCGGTGGAAGTATCCCGGACACCGACCCCTACCGCCAGGACACGAGTTTGGAGGGCCCACAGCTCCCAACACCTCAGCGCCTCTGTGCTAAACGTAACTTTAACCGCTGCTCACAGACACCGGGACAGCACTGAAGGAACCTCCCGGCCCAGGTGCCTTCTCCTGTGCCCCTTCACGGAGCTGCCCGCGGCACGAGGCCGCTGACCACACGCCGCGCACGGCGCGGCTCACAACCCACCGCGGCCGCGTCACGGCTCACTGACGTCATAACCCCCCCGCCACCCTGCAGGATACTCGCCCGCTCTCCTGGGGCCTCGCCGCCGCCGCCGCCGCCGCCAACCGACCCCCGGGAGCGATCCCCACAGCTTCACGCGCCCCTCCGCTGCCCCGCCCCATTGGCTGCCGCCTCCTGCCGCTTCGGGGGGCGGGGCCTCGTCGTGCGATAGGATTGGCTGGGTCCGTGCCTTGGGCCAGCGAAACGTCCGCTGCCGCCACTGGGGAGCGCTGCCTGCAGCCTCCGCCTCCCTCGTTCCGGCGCCCTCGCCCTTCATTCCGCCGTGCCTCCGCGCTTTGGTTCGGCAGCCGAGAGAGGGTTACTCTACTCTCAGGCAGACCTCTGCCGCAGCCTCATCTGCACTCCGGCCGTCTCCAGGCATGTCTAAGCCGCCACCTAAACCTGCCAAGCCAGGTAAAGAAGGGCCCCGGCGGCCTGAGCCGCCGTCTGTCCGCCTTCGGGCTCACGGGCCGCGCGCAGCCGGTGCGGATCATCCCGCTGCCCGCTGACACGTGTACGGTCTGGGGGTCGGGTCTGAGCTGTTAGAGCAGGGAGTGGGGAGCGGGGCTGCCCTCCTGCCCCTCTCGTTTCCCGCCACGCCACGCTTGCGCTGCATCGGTAGGACAGGCAGCCGCTTCCGCCGCCCTGCCTCCAGCGGCCCCGCCTGGAAGGGGTCATGGAGCTGCCCCGGCCCCGGGTCTGGGTGGTGTCCCGCTCCTACTCTGGCTCGGAAGAAGTTTCGAGAGTGAGCTCCAGCCAGAGCGGGCGTCTGGAGACAGGCCACCCGTACCTCGCCCCGGCCTGCCCCGTCGGGGCGCGGCCTGGCACTCCGTGCTCGGGCACTGAGCTGCCGAGGGGAAGCTGGCGTAGGCTGGGGTGCATAGGAAACCCTCTAACCTGTTAAGAAACAGGCGTGGAAATACTCCGGCGTTTGCCCAGCGATTGCGTGGGTTAGCAATATGTTGACACATAAAAGCGGTTTTATCACATAGTCGCATGATACCTGTGTTCTTCTAACACGGCATCCGACTGCTTCCCACTCTAGTATTCCCTGCAGCCAAACGCTCAGTGTGTCCTTTGACGTTTAACTGGCGTTACTGTGCTTGTCGTCCTTTCTGGTACATTGAATCACTGATATATAATTTTTTTTTTTTCTCCTCCACCCTTTCCAGGTAAATTTAGTGAAAAGTTAGTTGGTGTTTTCCAAACTATGATTATTGATCCCTAAATACATCTGAATTTCAATATTTTGGCACTTAGAGCAATATTTGAAATACTGGTGGGTTTTAGAAACAAATACATAATATGATCGAGTATTTTAACTAGACAACTAATAAAACAAGTTTTTAATTTGAAGCCAAGTAAGTGCAAACCCAGTTTTGACCATCAGCCTTGAACAATATGCAGAAGAAAAGTCTTTCAGAGCTTTCTGAATGTAGAATTTCGTCCATGGAAGAATTTTGTCTGTCCTGCAGTTTGCTAAGCGCTTTCTGAAAAGAGCTTACATGAAATTAGAAAGTGAAGGAAGCATTGCTGTTGCGGACTGTCACTGAAAGCTGGTACTGAGGAAATCTGTGGGTTTCTGAAGGAGTGTGATGTTGCGCTTAACAGCCAAATATGTAAAAAGGATAGATTTTCCCAGTGAAGTTGGTAACTCAAGTTTTCTGATTTGCAAAAAGATGAGTCAGTTTTAATGTAGGATTCTTACAGAGTTAAAGGCTTTAGCCCTACCTAACCTGCAGGAGCTGTTACGCTAACAGTAGATGTATGTCTAATACTAGGTTGCTGAAGTGCTGTTTTGTGGTAGGCTTGATCTGATAAAATGCAGGCTGCCATCAAAAGTTCCCTACCCGCTTCATACGCTGCTATTCCCTTTCCATTCCATTTAGTGATATGGCAAGCTGGTTCCCCTTCATACCCTGCCATTCCCTTTTCATTCCATTTAGTGACATAGCAAGTTGGATCAGTGCTCTGCCTGCTTATGTTACGTTATTTTTATGTCGTAATGAACTTGCTGAGCTGGTTTACTGCATGAGTGCTTGGCACAGCAAAAGGAAGTGGGTGGAAATAAATAGCTGAAGAAGGCAGAGGGAGAAAATAAAACTCTTGGTAATAGCTTTCAGAGCAGTAAGATTAATTTTCTCAAACCCCTAATTTTTGAAAAAGTTTTGCAAACTGTTGCTTTTTTTCTTTTTTTTTTCCCCACCCAAAAACGTTTTCAAGAGCAGACTGTCTCCTAGCATACTGTGGAATGTTTCTGTAGTTACATGTCTGGCTTTATTCTGTCTATAATGTCAGTGATGTGTGTGGTACTGTCATTGAATCTTTCAGGGTTATAGACATTAAACTGTCCTGATTAAAGAAAAATACAGGGACTGCTTGTGGTGAAATAGTTGCTACCACAGTGTAATGCTGTCTCTTGGTGGCTTTTAGACTGCAATGGGTGGAATGGCATTGTGCATTTGGTCAAGCTGTGTTAATTAGTCTTCACTGACTTTTATCAGTTATCCAGTCTATAAACTGGGCTATAACTTGGGTCAGGGAACAGCAAACCTGCTTGTCTTGCTGCTGAATTTTTACAGTTCAAGAAGAGGTTGCTATAGTTCTTTCCTTTGTGTTCGTGGGTGGGGGAAAGTGTAGGCCAGGTAGAGATGGAAGGAGATATAACATGTCAGGGAAGTGATAATGTTAAGTAAAATAAATAATCATCCTCTGTATAGCAGCGGATGTTCACTGTACATCACAGGGGTCTTGAACATCAGTGTTCAATGGCTGGACAATGCTTTAGAAATGGGGGCAGGGGAAGGAGATGCGGAGAGAGGAAAACTTAACTGGCTATAGCATTAAGTGTGGTTTTCATCAGTACATGAGAGCATTTGATCTGACAGAAGGCTCCTCTTAATCCTGTGGCATGCACAGCACATTAGGATTTCAGTTACAGAGAGTGGTTTTGACATCAATATGTTTTAGACAGCCATCTGACATGTTTGTCAAGACGTGAGCTAGTATTTTGGGGTCTGTGGTTAGCCCTTGATTAATGGATCATGATTACTTTTCGAGACTTTAAAAAGCTTTTGATTTCTGGTATTTTTATTTTTTTTGAGACTCTTGTGTAAAAAAAAAAAAGTGCGTAGCTTTGCTTTTCTACTAGGCCTTTGCATTATTACTGTTTTCTGGCTGTATTTTCTATCTAGACTTGCTACTGAACATACAAAAGAGTGGGAGTCGAAAATAGCAAAGACTTTCTTCTCTGTCAGCGTTAGGCAACGGGAGGGTTACCCCTCTGTCTTTCAAGAATTCTCTTGGTGTCTCAGACTGCATTGTTCTTTCTCTGCAGAGTTCATTGACTTAAACATTATGTGTTAGATGCTAATCCTGTTTACAAAAGTTACTTACGTTGAACTTGACAAGCTATATTGGCTTCTGCTATTCGTCTCCTTGAACAGCGCTCTGTCTCATGTTACATTTTTCATTAGTTTTACACAGTGGGCAGCAACCACTCTGGGGGAGATGAAAGTGGTATATTAATGTTTTAAAGAAACCTTACTTAATTTTATATCATCTAGATAGAGTGAGGTTTGTTGATCATGGCCTAGAGTCCACACAACATTTACATTTTATGGCGAAAGACCAGTCTTTGAGGTAATCAGTTTTTTGAGAGGAAGGGAGGCAGGAGGAAACATAGGTAGTATAAAGGGTTACTCCCTTTAAGTAAGTCTGTTGACCTTCGTTCTGATTTTCTGTAAACAAATGCTATTTGCTTCTTCCACTCCAGATACTGAATGATGCAGTCATAATTGTTCCTGCGCTACCCCAGTTTATCGTCTACACTGGCACCAGTCTCCCCTTTGCATTCTTTTCGACATGTCTCTAAACAGATTCCTACCTTTTTTTGTTTGTTTAATACACCATCCCCCCCTTCCTTCCCTCTAATTTGTATGCCCTGTGTTCACTGTTCACTTCCCCTTTCTAACAAGCACTGCTTAGAAGTCGATGGTTCTCTAAATAGTGGGAACTCCACTTTTTTCTCTGGAGAGTTGGGAGTTGGGGCAATCCTTAAATGCTGATTGATGTCTGTCTTTACAAAAAGCAAAGCTACAAGCTGCGTCCCTGTAAAACATATTTCCACTAGTTTTATTTCTGCTTGAAAGTCTGGATGTGAAGCACCTTATTTTCTAATTCCTCAGGAAAAAAAAAATCAGTCTAACCATAATGTCATTCTAATAAAATTGCATGTCTCCTAACAGATGTGCAGATCATAACATGATGCTAAAGCAAACTGCCAGCATATCACAAGTTATTCTGATCTGCAGCTTACCTCTGATACTGTGACTTGACAAAAAGATTGTATCTTCAAATTGTTGGTATACACTGCCAGGTTGTATACTTCTTTTGCAGGTTCTTAGGCCAGCATTGAGAAAACCAACATGCTGGCCTTTTGCCACCACACTTTCTGTGAGGTCAGGCAGAAGATGCCTCTCACTTCCTTCAGAGAAATTCATCTGAACCTGTATAAAAATTCATACTCCCAGTTACATAGGTTCTGGGAGAAGCCTCTAGAAGCAGCAAAGGCCCTGGAAATCTTAACTGTCCTTTTTCTACCCCATATTCTAAATCTTAAATATTTTAACTTTTTGGTCTACCTGTTACATGCACTCATTCAAATTAGTTGTTTTCAATCAAGTTGGTGCTAGAGAGAGCAACAGATTCCCTACTGGTTCTGTGCAGTCTTACAGGAGCAAGGAGGAAGATAGCTGGTGACAGCACCAAATTAGCTTGGACCTTTATACGAGTTGACAGACTTGAGGTTTCCCAATTTATCAGTGGGTGACCATGGCCAGTTCCGATTTTTCTAGAGCATAGAAGTTATCCCTGTCTCTGTATTACAGGTACTGATAGTGCTTAGTGATACCCAGCCAGTCTGTTTTTGTAAGTTAATTTTCTGATTTTCATAGTAGTCTAGACCTGCTTACTCTAAATACAGCTATGGAAGATGCTGGATCATGATCAATATCTGATTTGTAGAACCCTGTTTGCATCAATGAGATTTCATTTTGTCTGCAGGTGAAGCAGGATATGAAATACTAACCAAGACTCCTGTTGGTCCACTGGGTCCAAGCTTTGATAGCACCTGTAATATTGGCTTACTGACATGCTTACTTTCTTAACTAAAATAAATGGTTCTTGTACCAAGTACTGTTTATTTTTTTGGTTGAGGAAGTGATAGAAATTGATGGGTAATGAAATTATCTTCCCTGCTGTTTGGTGCTGGGAGTTCACCTTCACTCAAATGTAATGCTGTGCAGAGATAGATCTATTTTAATTCTCCCCTACCCCCTTCTAAAGCTTCTAGTATTTTCAGAAAATGGTAATTTTATTACTTTGTATTATGAGCACAGCAATGATCTTGTTTCCATTCAGAAGTTGCATATTTAAATTGTTGTTATTGTTTATCAGCTCAGTTTCTTTAATTTTATGCACTTAGCTGAGAGGTCATATCAGAAATCTGAGTTGCCAGTTTCCTTTCCTCACAAAAGCAGAAGAAGTGTGTAGCAGAAGTTATCCAAAATAATTCGAAGGGTATGAGGTCAGCCCAGCCTGATAAAACATTTGGTTTTTGTTGCTGGTTACAGAGAATCATTGGTTTGACTCCTTTACTTCATTGTGTTGCTGAGGGAGGGTTTGCTCAAATTCTGGGGGGCGGAGTTTGTATGCTAAGAATATTTGTATCTGGTTAGTATATGTTACAACTTAGCTTTTTTTATTTGTCAGTTGTTTTGCAGATTTTTAATGCAGATTCCCTGAGAAGGGAAAATACAACGTTGTGGCTAAAGTATGGGATTGAAAAGAAAAAACACTTAAATTTGTCCTTGTGCTTAGGAAAAGGTTTAATGTGGGACACTGTTCCCTATTTGCTGTGTTTTTAAAAGGAATAATCCCCTCTTTACTAATGCTGAGAATTAGGTCATTTAATGTTTGCCTGGTGCCTTGAAGTCTTAAAAAGGTGCTTGTATCTTTTGTGTTCTACTTAATTTTTCCTTTAGAAGTACTTGGGGGGAGTGCAGTTACGCAACTTTGGTAAGTTCAAATGCTAATGTATTATTTCTCTGTCCTACATAAATCCTACAATGTGGTTCGTAGCAAAGTGGTAAAGGTGAGCACAGGAAGTCACCAGGTGATGTCTGACTTTTTGCTTATTCCAAAGGACACCTGCCAATACAAGCTCTAAGTCTGTCTGCATGCTGAGGGATGGGCATTGGTAGATAAAAGTACTTCAAGTGATTACAGGTACTCATATGCCTAGTAAAATACAATTTAACAGCGTTTTCAGGCCTGGGACTCAAGTTTAATGTACCATTTGCATGCTTACATTTTGTTATTTTAAATTTTCTCGGCTGTTTATTTTTTTTTATTTTATTAGAATTTGGCAAAAATAACTTCAATGCCAAGGTCTTGTTGTTCTTAGCTCTTCAATGCAGTAACATAACCAGGTTTAATTTAATGTCTGTTTATGAAGAAATATTTAAAAGATTGGTTCCAGTAGTGGGTACTGTTTTACTCCCATGTAAAGTGCTGTAAAATTACAGTTAATCAGGCCTGCAGTTCTGTAGATTAAAACCTGTACTTTGCATTTCATGACAGGAAAATATTTTAGAATGAGTTGTGCTGTGTGTGACACCACAGCTTGACATTTCGGGAAGTAACTCTCTGTTTCAGTTGTGGAGAATTAAAAAAAAAAAAACAACCACCACCAACCCCCCCCCCCCCCCCCCCCCCCGAATTGCCTTTTGTTTAAACAACATGTCAGCAATACTTTCATCAGTGTCAGTGTTTCCATTCTTTTTTTCCTTCCCTTAGGGTGTGATAGCTTTAGAAAACCTGTTGACACAGATGCAGTACATTATTACAGGAAACACTATGACATGCACAAATCTGTATTTGTTGCTTTTCCCTGTCATCTGCCATCTTCTCATTTCCCCTTTTAATGTATCTTACTCTTCCCTCTTGCTATCCATTTCCTCCTTTTACTTACATTAAACCTTGAAAATTGGTGGGTGATGGTTAAAGTCGCCAGAGTTGTCAGTGTGCAGTTCTGTCTTGTGTTTATCTGTCTCCCATGTAAGAAAGCCAAGGAGAAGGGATAGTGCTCTTGCATCACCTGTCCTGTTTTGTCATCTGTCTTTCCCTTGTTTGTTTGTTTTTACTTCTTCCCAGCTTCAGTTCACACATTTCATTGTGAAGCTCTTAGATCTAAGAGGTATGTCCTTGGTTCATCATTTCTATACGGATAACAAACAGATCAGAAGTTTCATCCTTTCTTTGGCTGTTGCCACAGTACAGGTGTTTAGTTTTTGAGGCAGAGTCTGAGAAGCGTTGGACCTTTTATGTCTAGGAAATGGCTGCTGTGAGAGAGACTAGTAAGACCAAACTGAAATTTTATGGTGTTATTAAAAAATAAGATCTGGCAAGAGGATGGGATAGTTACAAATCCTAAGCAAAATCATACACACATAGAGAGTGTATGATTCCATTTGCCAATTTAAAATATTTACATGGATTAATTTTATGGTTATAGTCTTACATACACTTAGCCTCCAAAAAGCGTGAGACACAAGGCTACAGAAATGTTTTTCTTAGTAGTTATGCCTTGACATTGACATTTGTAATTTTTCTTAAATGCAGTGATTTCTGTGCTACTGCATTATGTTCCTAATCTGTAACGGTTACAAGTAAGTGTGAGAATATGTTGCAGACATTGGTCAGTTATATTTCTTTATTATTAATTCTGTATCACTTGACAAATCTGAAATTGTTGATAGAAATCTGTGCAACATATATGAGTGTGTGTGTGTGAATATGACTGAAACTACACTTTGCCTCAGAAATTGATGGTAACACTTCAATTGACCTGCATGGTGAGTGTGAAGTCCTTGTTCCTTGACAAGAAGCAGCTTATCTTTAGCTGGTCAGTTGGCCCATTTCTTTTAGAACCTGTGCTGCTGGGGTGAGTCTTTTCATTGTGATTATAATTTTCAGAGGCATTACACAAATTTGTTCAGCCAGCAGCTTCAAGGAATTTACTTGGATTTGAGGGCTGTATCTGTATGCTATGTTTAGAAGGTATGATACTGATACTGATTTTGTTTCTTTTTTAGGGCAGGTTAAAGTGTTCAGGGCCCTGTATACATTTGAGCCCAGAACGGTAAGTGTATCTAGATTTAACTGTTTTGAGAAGCATAATTTTAATCTTGTCTGTAACAACATATTTTTCAGTTCTGCTAGGGTTTTATTCGATATGGTTTATTAGACTTGCTGTATTATGCTTTCAATGAAAAAACCTTTTTGCTGGATATCCTTCTAAATGTGAATAAACCTGGGTGATTAATCATCACTCTCCTTTTTTAAGTACAGCTCTTTTTAAAAGCAGCATACTTTCTTTTCTATTATAAGTTATCTGTAATGTAAGATCAGCAATATACATGGTTTTTTGCTTTTCTTCCAAAGGCAACAAAGATAATTTGAGAACTAAAAGATTTTGTGAACTGAGGCCAGCTAGAAAGGGTATGAAGTTAACAAACACAAGATGTATTTCACTGCTTTTCTTGCACAATGCTCTGTTGGAAAGACCACAGTCTTTTTCTTTAGTTATCAGGAAGGTCACAGATCTGAAAAGTGAGCTGTAGGCAATTCAAACTACAATATGAAAGACTATCAGGACTGTCTAATTGCTGGAGAACTTGAGTTTTTGTTCTTTCGAAGGGAGAGCTGAATGTACTCTGCTTTATCGAGGTATTTGTTTTACCTAAGTACACACATTCATATTTTTGTTTACTTTTTTTCTTTTTAAGCCAGATGAACTGTACTTTGAAGAAGGAGATATTATCTACATCTCAGACATGGTGAGTCTCAGATGTCCCGTAAGACTGAGTACTTCTGAGATGCAGCATATCCCTTCTAAAATATTTTCCTTATTCTCTGCAGAGTGATACAAACTGGTGGAAAGGAACTTGCAAAGGGAAAACTGGACTAATTCCAAGCAACTATGGTAATGTCTAGAATATTTCCATTTGGCAAGGTCATTCACAATCAAAGGAAATCACTAAATAAAAATGACTGATATACCGATTTTCAAAAATTGATCACAGTATTGGAATTTAAGAGTCCTCTACCAGGGTATTTCAGAATACATCTGCAATATAGGTCCCCATGGTACATCAGCCCTGGACAAGCTGTCTTATATTTTTATTGCCCACAGAAAGCTTGAGTTTGTCAAGTATTCACGTTTCTGCTTGTGCAGGTAACAGCAACAGATGCTCTCATTTTTGAAGGGAAGAACACTTGGATCTAAAGGATAGTTTTATAGACAGCGCACGAAACTGAGGCTTCTATTCTTGGTATTCTAAATCAATGCATTGAAATTTTTTAAGATCTTATTATTAGCAGTATCTTGGCTATATTCCTTCAGTCTTTACATTGTGTTTGTTTTAAGTAGACCTAAGGAGGACAGTGGCAACCCTTTAATAGCTTTGAGGTCAGGAAGCCCTATACAGTGTCAGGTGGCCTCTTACAGAGGTAGATAATCAATACTGGATTGTTAAGTAATGGATATGGACCTGACTGCATATGGACAGGAAGCTAAATCAGATTGTGAGCAGTTCTGTAGACCTTTTTTGATCTGTCCTCTTCCCACCTTCAGAAATGGGACTGCTTGCCATTTTTACTTTTTAATGATTATATTCAGCCCCAGAAAACATTATTTTCTTGGGCATTGCAACACATTAAATATTCCATACCTGTTTGAACTGAACAGAAATGCTTTGTCAGATTCAACTAAAACCACTTTGAAAAGCCATGCAAACAGACAACACAGCACAATTCTTCCAAGTCCTCCTAGGAAATGTAGGCAGGGTAGCAGTTTTACATGACAGATTGCAAACTGGTAATACCTTAGTAATTGTGGTTGCTTCATGTTGTCCCTTCTTCAATAGGAGACATCTTCTGGAATAAATCAAAGTTTTATTCCATGCAGGTGCCCAATATCTATTCAGCTTCAGAAGTAGTTAGAATTTCTCTTTTTTTCATTTCAGTGGCAGAGCAAGCAGAGTCTATTGATAACCCACTGCATGAAGCTGCCAAACGTGGTAAGCGTGATTTGCGTAATGCTATAGGATGATTTGTTTGTTTCTGCCAAAATAATAATATATTTTCCTGGGTTCAGCAGTAGCAGTCAGTTTTCTCCTCCTTGGTAGCTGGTGCAGTGCAGTGTTTGGACTTTTGGCTCGGGAGCAGAGCTGATAACAATGATGTTTTGATTTGGCCAAGGACTTTGTGAGCCTCATGCTCTGCCAGGGAGGAGGGGAAGCCAGGAGGAAGCAGAGACAGGACACCTGACCCAAGCTAGCCAAAGAGGTATTCCATACCACAGCACGTCATGCCCAGGATGTAACTGAGAGTTAGCCAGAAGAGCTGGTAGACTCCGGGGTTGGAGGAGGTATGGGTCGGTGCTTGGTCGGGCTGGGGGTGCGAATTATCGGTTGGCTGGTGGTGAGGTGGTGTATTCTCTTCCCTTGTTATTTCCTTTATCATTGTTATCACTGGTGGTAGCAGTAGTGATTTGTGTTATACCTTAGTTACTAAACTGTGCTTATCTCAACCCGTGGGAGTTGCATTCTTTTCGACTCTCCTCTCTGTCCCTCCAGGAGTAGGGGGAGGGCAAGAAGGGGGGGAAGTGAGTGAACAAGTTGTCTGGTTTGGTTTAAACCACGACATATATTTAAAATTAATTTATCCTGTCTGTTTGGTTGTGTGGTATTTTGAACAAGTTATCTCGTAAGTTTTGCAGTTTTTAGAAGCTGAACTCATTCACAGCCTGGTAGAATTGCCACTTTGTGATTTATACACATTGAAAGAGTTTAGTACCATCTATTTAACTATGTAGGGACCTAATAGTCTTCTGGGAGAAGAAGAAAAGGTTTGATGTGACTTGGACTGGTTGTTTTATGAATTATAAGTGTTGCTGCTAATCACTTTTTTCCTCACAAGTTCACAGAAGGACTGACACCCTTCACAAATAACTGGGTGTCTTTAATGGTTCTCTTAACTTTTCAAAGAGGAAAACAAAATCATCAAAACTGAATTTGTCTTTCAGGCAACTTAAGCTGGTTGAGAGAGTGTTTGGATAATCGAGTTGGGGTCAATGGCTTAGACAAAGCTGGAAACACAGCTCTGTACTGGGCATGCCATGGAGGCCACAAAGGTATTGGAGAATTATTTTGAAATAATTGTTCCCTGGTTTTCTTGATTTGCCTTTTCGCCTGTTTGCTAAAAGTGCAGTACTAAATAATAAAGCCAAGATTTTTTAAATGTCATTCTATCTTTTATTTTAAGAAAGGTTAAAGCTTGCTTAATGCAGTCTGACTGCTACAGATTTTCATTAGCTGTTTTCACTCTTTCTTTGAATCTTAATCAGAATTTAGACTGTGAATGCAAAAAAGTCTGTTTTATTTCTGCTAAATTTTTTTGTTCACCCCTCCCACCCTGTTTTATGCAGATATAGTGGATGTTCTGTTTACCCAGGCAAACCTAGAGTTAAATCAACAGGTAGGTTAAACCAGCTGACCCTTGCAGTAGAAGTGTGATGTTAGTCATGCTTGGTACAAGCTGAAAGGTTTTTTTTCTGTATTTTAATCCTGTCGCTTTTCCCTCTAACTCCACAGAACAAATTGGGAGACACAGCTTTGCATGCTGCTGCATGGAAAGGTTATGCAGATATTGTAGAGATGCTGCTGGCAAAGGGTAAAGATCTTCACCAAGGTTTCAACAATCTGTGTGGCAGACTAGACTGCTGAATGTTTATTAATCCGTCTTTCTTTAAGTGTTTTTCTGTAACCCAGCTATGGTCCCTAGCCAGCTTACCTGCCTGACTTTGTAAGCCTTGCAGAAGATTGTGGCAGCTGTTTGGAGAATAGACATCTCACCTGCTCAAGATAAATCTCATCCTGCTTTGCAGATAAAGTTAGGCACTTAACCCCAGAACAGCAATGACATCTGCTTCCTGGAAAGGGAAGGCAGCCAGTGAGTTCCCTAGCCAACTGTAGCTTATGGAAGAGCATCCATAGTATTTATTTTACTTCAGAGCAGTACACAGATGAGATTCCCATGTCCATTACCGTTCAACCCATGCTATTGAAACACATATTGTAATGCCATTGCCCAAAAAATATCTGGGACAGTTATTCATTATGAAAACTTTCTATTCTAAAGGGGCAAGAACAGATCTGAAGAACAATGAGAAGAAACTGGCATTAGACATGGCAACCAATGCAACTTGTGCTTCCCTTCTTAAGAAGAAACAGAGTGCAGGTATTTTTTGTTTTGTTATTCTGATACATTCTTTTCCTTTTTAGGAGACACTTAGTATTTTGACCAAGTATCAGTGTGCTGATAGCCATAAAATCCATTTGAGAGCAACATGGGCTGAAAGTTGTGTTTGAAAGGGTTCTCTTGAGAGTGCCAGTTCAGTGGAGCTATGATAGAGACCTGTGGTTTATCACGTTCAGTGTGGCTGACTCCATACAAAATGCCATCTTGTGTCAGCAAGAGGCAAAAGAGCTCCAAAGATGTGGAAGCCATAATAGAAGGGGAGGAAATGGAGCACAGACTCTTCAGAGTGGAGAAACAGAAAGCAAGTAAGGATGGAAACTACCTTAAAATCAGCATACCACAAGGGACAAGGTATGAGACTAAAACAATGTGGTATGTTCCCCCTTATGCCTGTCCATTTCTCCAAACTAAGCCAAACAAAGACCAACGGATGCTCCTCTTTCATTTCCTTACTGATACTTTTTCAAAAAACACAGGCAGAGTTACAGCTTATGTAACTGGGATATGCAGTCTAGCAACTGTATTGTCACTGGGCTAGGGAGAGCAGATGGGATGCTAACCTATGGGTGGCTAGGAGTGGGAATTAAATGATAGAATAGATGACCACAACTTTAGAAGGCCAAGAAGAGCAGTTGCAACAAAATTGCTATGCAGCTTTTTGACAGAGGTAATAGTGGATTTCCCAGGAAACCCTGACAAATTTCTATCAGTTTTGACTCTGGAGAAAGCAGTGATAACAAAGAGCAGAGTTTCTTCTGTTTTCATATTCTTTTTCTAATATTAGTTAATATTCTTTTGAAGCACTTTTCATCTTTGTCAACTGTAGGCACCTGCTACAGGAGTATTCTCTACTCTCATGTCCAGAATAATTGTATTAATGTTTAATTTTTTGCTGCTAGGTAGCTTCTGGTGTGTTTGCTTCTCTCCCTCTAAACTAATTTTGTTTCATGGCTGACTGATTTATCATTCTTATTTATTTCATAGAGTGGTTAGGGTTCGAAGGGACCTTAAAATCATACAGTTTCAGCCCCCTGCCATGTGCAGGGATGCTGCACACTAGGCCATCTTGCTCAAGACTCTGTCCAGCCTGGCTTGAACATTGCCAGGGATGAAGCATTTACAATTTCTTTGGGCAACCTGTTCACCACTCTCACAGTAAAGAACTTCTTCCTTATATCCAACTGGAACTTCATCTGTTACCAGTCTCTGGTACTCTCACATGCTACCTTTTCTTGTATGCCTCGGTAAGAGCTTATGTTCTCAGTCTAACTGCAGTTTTAGTATTATCTTCCTTGTTTGCTTTTCTGTCTTAATTTGGCGTTTTATAATCTCTGTGACACCACTGGCCTGTATCCTTTTCTTGTGTTTTGTATTTTCTCAGTTATTCATTCTTCTGTATGTGTTCATTCTGTATTTCAGTATTTCCAATATCTGTGAGTGAAACAATTGCTGTTTTCCAGAGATTTAGTTCCTATATCAGTAGTCTTCTGTGTCCAGTTTCAAATCTGTTCCTATTTAGTTAGGGCTTCAATCATAGTCATTCTGTGAAACATTTTGTTTTACCCAAGGAAGTTTACTTTGTCTCCATTTAAATTTCAAGTTTTGTGGTTTGTTTGTATACACACACATTCAAGTGTCATGATTGCAGAAGTATATTCTAAGAAATAAAAGTTGTTAAAATCCTGTCATGGAATGCAAAAAGAATTGTGCTCCTGAATGGGGGAACAGTTGTTACACAGAAGAATGGGATTTGTCCTTTCTTGAAGAATGGCCCTTTAGCACAGCACTCTACAGTTTCTTTCTTCTCTTTCCTTTCTTCCTTTGCTGCTTCTCCCATTCAAAAACAAACAAACAAAAAAATTATTCTCTTAAGCTTCTTTTATCAAAACAGTTGAGCAGGTCAGTTTTAAATTTACTTCTTTTTCCTCTTCCAGAAGCCTAGGATAACATGATTATCACTTCTGTGAATTATGTCAGTCTTGTTATGTGTGCAGATGATATTTTTAATACTTTATTGTAATATGTTATTGCAAAGCTGTGACTGAGTAGGATCTTGTTGTTCCTGGCTCTCAGTAGTATAATATAATACATGTTATATATAACCCATATTCCTGTTCCCATACATTTAAAAATCTGTAGGCAAATAATTATCTGTCACAAAAAGCCCATACTGTTTATCATTGTACAGTCCCAAAGGTTGATGTGGTTCTGCAGGCAGTGCCACATGTCTGGTGAATATACATTAATACTCCTGTTTTCTCCTTACTGTCCTTCAAAAGCTCATAAGTAGATATAAGAAATATTTATTCAGGAAAAAATGTTTGTGAGGAAAAAAAAGCAGGGGAAAGAACAGGTGAAATGTGTTTTATTTTAAATAGAGAATGGCGGCCAGCTAAGCAGTCAGAATAAAACCATAGGGGTTCTTCCACCAACTCACCAGTCTTTTCCTTTGTGATGTAGTGGTAACATATACAGAAAATAGAATGTAAGAGTTCCAGCTCCGGTTCCAAGGAGCCAGAAGATGGCTCTTGAAGGTCACATGTATCTCACGTGTATCTCACATGTAGTAGATGTGATTATTGGCTTAGCCCTGCTTTTGAGATCCAGAGCTACAGCCCCATCTGTGTAGCCCTAACATCTCTAAATGATACAGGAATCAGCTTTCTCAGATGCTGGTTTGCAAGCATTGCAAATGTGAAGCTTTTTATGATTTTATCCTGTATTGAGAGAGCTTTGTTTCTTTCCAGGTACAGTCCGAACATTAAGTAATGCGGAGGAATACCTCGATGATGAAGACTCCGATTAGCTTTTCAGCCTAAAGAACTATATCTTGCATTGCCTATGTCATTCCCAAAACGTGTCTTTACAACTGTAAAAATATCTAACTTAGAGTATTGCAGTCTTCCAGTATAGCATATAAATGAGAGGGTGGTGCTTTCCAAAGGAATAATCTTCATGTGTGCAAGAAGATGCCACATTTTAAATCATAGTGCCTTTGGAATTGTCTTACAGAGGAAGTGTGGCATACCCTTATTGTTGAATGGGCAGAGGACCATCCTCTAAACCCACAGGTTTCATCTCAGGCCTTTCCAGCAAGTGCCTTGCGTCCCTGAATTACGCTCCTTAGACTGAAAGGTCCCTTTGGGATGGCAGGACACTGTTGCTAACGTTTCTCAAAATCTCCCTGGATACCAGTTCCTTTGTGCAGATAATTACTGAAAGAGTCAGTACTGGTTGACAGGCCTGAATACCTGGTTGACATGGCATTCATGCCTGGCATGAATGACTGGTTGACAGGCATCTCGCTGCTATAGAAAGTGACATCTTTTGCCCACATAGAGCCAGGACAAGGTTTGATTTTTTTTTTTTGTTTTGGTTTGGTTTGGTTTTTTTGTGTGTTTGTTTGTTTGTTTGTTTTGGTAAATCCGCCCCTATTCCTTCCTGTACCCCTCTAAGTAAGGGGTAGAATGACATGAAACAGTCTGCCCCTGGACACTTTCGTTGTCTTCTCTATTGCTATGGGCCATATCCCTGAAATGTAAACTCAGGTGAAATGCTTGCTTAAGTCAGGCTTGCTTGAAAAGTGCTCTTAGTTTTGGACTTAGTGATGTGATTCCTTTGCTTTTTAAAGTGCATGATGCTGAAACTATTTGTAGTGAGAGGAAGACAGAATATTTTTCTATTTATCCTGCCTAATTTTTTTTTTTTTTACTGATCTCTTGCTTTTATTTTTTAAAAGAGTTCTTATATATTGCCCTAAATTACCTCAAAGCTTAAGTGTGTTTGAAGGAATGAGGGAAGATGTATATTAAATATACCACATGTATCTTTAGAAAAGATACCTGAAATTGAAGAATCACTTAAACGTATTGCTTCTTCCTGTGAATTAAAGAGGACTAAAAAATAAATTGAGCCACTTTTAAGCTTCCCTGCAGAGTTAAAAAACTAAGCACTTCCTTCAGATTGCTTAAATAGCTGCAGCCAAATATACCATACTAAGGGATACTTCCTTGCTGTGATGGTAGTAAGAAAATGTTGCAAGTGTTTGAGATGCAGTCTTATTTTCAATTTTTGTTGCTAACTTTCCTGTTAGCAGCTTTGACAGATTCAGTCCAACACAGCAGTCTGTGATACTAAAAAAGAAAAAAAAATTTTAAAATGGCAAAAAAAAAAGCTCTTAGATTGGGGATAAATGAAAAGCTCTGGTACAAGACTGGGGATAAGTGAAAATCACACTAGGTATTTTAGAAATTAAAAGAAGACTAAAGCACTCTCATTTTAAAAAATACATTGAACCAGATTTTTGTATTTTTATTATCCTGCGAAAGACTAGGTACAGGTAAGGCTTGTTAAATGAGCATTTACCAAAGAAGACATTGTTCAATTGACCAGAACTGTATAAGATGATGGTGTTGCACAAATAGTCACCTGCAAGTATAATTCTGAATTGTTTAAGTGTTAAAACCATACAAAAAATATTTTAGCCCTATGAGATCCTGTGGTCAGCTGAACAGTGATGTTTTATTTTGTGTGAACTTGGAAGGTCCTAGAGAGGAAAAAATAAAAACCAAAGCCACCAAGCTTTTGTCTCTAGCTTTCATTAGAACAGTTGCTGTATGTGACTCATAATAGACAGATACTGTCCTGCTTTACATTTTATCAGCCAGCTATTTTTACTAGCTCAGATTTTTACCACTGTCAAGCCACAGGTTGTGCTTCATGCTGTTGACTAACTTGATGCAGTTTCACTGTGCAAGTGAAAAAGGACTTGTAATAAGTGGCTGGAGAAGCAAGAAGGTTTATGTATCTGTTACATAAGTTTTTTTCTTGCATAAATGAAGGTTAAAAATCTTCAGTGTGACAGGACATGGAAAGAATAGCTCTTCCCAAATCACCATTTTATCTGTCAAGCTTTGAAGGCAGAGTTTGTATTCAGAAATAACTTAATGTGATGTCATCTGCTGCTGTGGGTTTAGCATCCTACAAATTAATTGCAGCATTTGATTTAAAAATGTAATGTTATGTCTGTGAAATTAGCTGCTGCCAGAAGACCCTGTGTTATTCTGCAGACTGATCTAGGTGCTGCAAGAGAAGAACGGTGAAAGAAACACAAGTTGGGCCTACAGATTGCCTGTGAAGTCTTTACTGGAGTGTCCTGAAGAAGGCACATTTACATTGCAAGGCAGCTAGCTTGTGCCGTAATTTGTTTTGAGACCAAAATTACTTCTTTTGTTTTTCCTTCACAACTTTGTTTTTCCTCATGCATCTACTCATCTTCTGAAATACAAACCACTGTGAGACTTTCAGGCAATAAATTTCTTAACTCTAGCAGTTAAGTTTTGATTAACAAAAAAAAAATAAATAAAAAGACTAAAAAACCCCAAGCAAAAACACCAAAGCAAAGTCTTACATGTAGAGGGAATTACAGCTGAAGTAAGACTGATACAGTGACTTACTAGTTCTGCAAACCCACTTATTCCCCCTACTTTTCTCCAGTGTTTGTGTCACTTAAATTTATCTTGGATAAATTTATTTATCTTAGGTAAATTTAAGACTTTCCAAGGACAGCTGCCTTCAGGTTTGTAACAATAAGAAAAACAGGCTTTTAAGAAAGCAGCATAATGAAAGATGTCAAGCTTCTGGTGTCTCCGAACTGCACACTGAAGGATATTCAGTCTTGTGTGCTTCTGGTTGAATTAGCATGTGTGCCTTTCTCTTGAAAATGAGCTGTGTTCCAGTTAGACATGCTGTGCTGTTGGGGATATAAATTATTTATTTGAGTCTTTTTCAAAGTAAATCAGTAAATTTTCTGCTTGCTTCATCAGAAATTAAATGCTAATTCCTTGTTTTCTAGAAGAGAAAATGGGACATTTCCTGAACTGTGTTTAATGTAGTTTTTAATCCCTGTGTAAAACCTTGAAGTTAATTGTGCTGCTTTGCAAGAGCAAAACCCACTTTACTGAATTCAGCTCTTGGATGTCCCAGCACCTGAAATGCAATCTGCTCAAATCAGTTAAGGTCATGTTAAATGCTTAAACTCCGTGGCCTGATTTCTAACACACTTGGCAGTTTAAAACCCTCCTTGTCCCCTGAATCCTAATTTCTGAGGACAACACTGTGTTTCTTGCATATGAGGCTTATATCAAGGACCAAAAATTGCTGAAAGTAGGTTCACCTGACATTGTGATAATTTCAGTTACAAAGTCATGCAGCATACGTCACTGAATTAAGGATTAGTTTTCAGTGGTTACCACCTACTAGTGGAGCCACTGAAATGGAACACAGAGCAGATTGAGAAGTCACAGACTGTTAATCTGTTGCTTTTTCTTGTGACAAGCATAAGCTCAACTTACAAAAAGTGTTTCAGGACAATGTTAGTTGTACTGTACTTTGGTCATAGCAGGAAACGGAAAAAAGCAGAAATGGTTTTGAAGAACTTTAAACAGGATTCTTTAAAAGAAATTAATTTGCTGTAATTTGATAAAAAAATCTGTATTCTCATTTGCTAAACAGGTGAAAAGGTAACAGTTATTTGGTTTGGGTTTTTTTTAAGCAACACAATAAAAAAAAAGTGGAGGAGCTAAAAATAAGACCACAGTACAAAAACAGTTCAGAGAAGCATAACTTTACATCACAAGTTCTGGGGCAGAATTTGGACTGGTGCTAGTGTCTGCTTGTGGCAGGAAAGAAACAGGCACTCATTTACCTGATGCCTGCTGTTTCTGATGCTAAAGATGATGTGTCCAATCTGCCCTTCTCCTAGACAGCTGTATCACTACTTTATTCATATAATCCTAGAATACCAAGTTGGAAGAGACCTCAGGGATCATCTGGTCCAACCTTTCCAGGCAAAGCATAACCTAAATTAGATGTCTCAGCACCCTGTCCAGCCAAATCTTTAAAGTGTCTGAGGTTGGGGAGTCCACCACTTCCCTGGGGAGATTATTCCAATGGCTGATTGTTCTTAATGTGAAATTTTTTTCTCTTGTGTCCAGTCAGACTGTGGCCTTCCTTTAGGCTCACTAGGGCAGGTCTGTAGCACACCAGAGAGTTCTTCTGGAGGACAGATTTCTCCAACAGATCCATGAGCAACATCACTGGAAAAATTAGTGTGGTCCAGCCAGTATTCTCCCCCTCAGTTACATAAGAAGGGGCTACTTCCTGTGGTTGTGAGCAATTCCTGAGGTCAGAGGCTGAGAAACCTGTTGCAAAGATAATGGTTAAGTTAGAATGGGGTTTTTAGTGCATGTGGAATAGCACAGATCTTGCAGGGTACCAATGCTCAGCTGTTCCACATGCATTAAGTTTATGCAGCCAGAAAAGAGTCTATAACCTACCCTTTGAGGATTTCAGGAACTAGGATCTGTAACTGGGAGTTTTTTCTTACAGAGATGGATTATTCAGAATATCTACTGTTTCTTAACTTTAAAATCCATATTTCTTCCTCTTCTTTCCAAAGAGGCTCTTAACTTAAAAGGCTTTAGTGAGGTTTAACATAAAACAGGCATGAAGACATAAAATACCAGAAGCAAGTTGGACATTTAGAAGTTTATTGTAATCGTATTTCTGATGTGGTGTTTTGAAGCAAATGTCTGGAAAACAGTGACTATACATGGAAAATAGAGGACCACTGTCTTTAAACTCAGCACAAACCTTTATTTGTTCTCTTGATTTGTCTTGCTTAATATACTGTATTTTTGCAGCTTTTCTGCAGTCACACTTTCAATTAACTTCATGTCTACAAGGACATACCTTAACCTTCTTCAGAGATATTCAACATAAAACTGGAATTAAATCCTCAAATTTTACATCCAAATTTAATATGTCTTTCCTGTTCAGCAGGCTACTCTAATACAAGTAGTTCCAGAGTGTTGGTGATTTACTTCAGGCTTTTTTAACTGAAGGTTTTAATTTTTATCTTTGCATATAATTTCCCTAATGTTGATAAAGTTATGGTGCATTTCACATAATCTGAAATTCATTAAAGAGTAGTACATTTCCTTCTCAGTCTATCAATTTTTACTTCTCTACAAAAGCTAATTTATGCTTTTCCCTAAGCTTTCTTTTTAAGCTCTTTTGCTAGATAATCCCATGGAAAACAACTTACTACTGCCTAGCTGTAAGTTTAAAACAGAAGAGGAACAAAGAAACAGAAAATGTGTCTAGACTTCATGCAGTTACGCTGAAAGCAAGGGCAGTAAACATTTTGTTAATGAAAAAGTTGTGCGGGTTGAGCAGCAGGCATTGTACTTCAGAGAAACTTTACATAGATTGGTTAAAGCCCTGAGCTAGCATTTACTTTGGTTTTAATGACTTCATCTAATCAGGGAACGTGGTCAATTCTGTTAGATGCTGTGAGTACTTTCCTGAAAACTAGTGTCTACATGGAGTTACAACAGTGAAAAGTGACTGAGAAATTGAAATGCTTTTCCTCCTGCTAAGACTATGGAGTGCCCTCCAGTCAGACAAGAATACTTCAAAAGCATCAATCACTGCAGAGGGTGAACTGCTGCCAGTAGTTTCTCATCAGTAGGAAGATCTCTGAAGATGAACAGGTTACACATGGTGCTTTTAACTGCTTGTGAAAATGTTTGAATTATTTCAGCAGGTGTGATGAGGTCATTCAAGTTGAATGAGTTTGAAATGAAAAGCCATTATTACACAGGAGTAAATAGTTTGAAAGGGTCTGGTGGTACTTGTATTTAACTATTAGTCGTTTCCATTGAGTTTTTCCCAAAGCCAGGCTACACCAGCCACAGCTCCAGCAGTTCACTTACCACTTACAAATTCCAGTTTTACTCGTATTATTTTAGTGAATCTCCAGTTTAGTGTTATGTTGCCATTTTAAGGGCAGTTACTGTTAATTAGCCGAGTTCTCTTTGCACTTTTCTTAGTGACACCAGTTCCCTGCAGCCTATGTACTGTTTTTCTTTGCATTTCAGTCTAGTATTTAAAATGTTTAAACGAAATTTTATGCTCATATGCTAGTCTTAGTTTTCCAGTTCAAATTGGGTGACTGAGTGAAGTAAACTGTAGCCCCCTGCTTGCCTCAAGTGACTGGATTTCCTTCAACAGTTAGAAGTATCTTGAAAGTTAAAGACAAGGGAAAAAGAAATTGAAAACTGAAGCTAGCACATGGACTTTATAAATTTAATATTTTTGTTGACCTGTGGGTTAGTGAAAACCCGTGTCTCCTCAGATGTAAAAAGGTAAGAGTCAGTGCAATATAGCATGTTTGCATATATGGTAGGAAGACAAGGTATTTAAGAACCTGCACACCAATATAATCATATTATTGTTGTGTAAATCTAAATTTCAGGGAACCTGAAATTGCTCTAAGCCAAGACTTGCTTAGGTTTGTGATTAGCCATTTCCTGCATCTCTACATTTCAAGATACGCTGCATCTCCTTAGAAACATTTTTCAGCTCATTTAATTTCATAGCCTACCATTACTTGGAAAGATGACTTAGTTCTCACTTTTAAAGGCAGAATAGACACAGGCAAGGCATGACATTCCATTTTCAGTTATTTTTATTGGCTGTTGCAAATGCAACCATTTGACACAGTCCTAACCAGCAGACTGTTATCCTGGTCAATCCTGCACTACAGTGGATAAACGAGATTGTAATAGGACTAAGTGAAAAGTAGGGTTTGATTGAATTTTTTCCAAGCATCAGAAATGTGATAAGGGCAGGCCATGTAGGTTTTACATACACTCTACATGCAGTCTCATGCTCTACCCACCATCAGGACCATGCACACAGATATCCCCTTCACTAATAATACACAGCTATGCTTCACCACAGGTCAACAGAAAGCATTCCTATCTGATGTACTTCTCTTAAGGTCACTATTTGTATTTTCATCCTGAGGCCTTTCAAGAAAGACTATAGACAATGGCCAGTATGAATTAGTTGAAGGAACTATATCAATGTTGGCTGTCTTACAGTAAGCACAGCACAAGATTTAGAAAAACCAGGAGAGTTAATGAAGAATAATAATATGAATATTAAAATTCATTAATATCAGCTGTTAATATATATACAATGAAATATTTTCCAGTTCCTTGATATGAAAGTCTATTAACATTGTTAAGGATGAGTATTTAAAGCTGGAACATAACCCTAAACACTAGAAAATTCCAGGCAGACAGAAGAAAACTAATGTGTCCATACACAAGAAGCAAAAGCAGCACAACTGCAGTAAGCGTGCAGAAGTTTGATACGATGGAGTTCATATAGACAGTAAGGGCTAGCAGTGTAAAACTGATGGAGTGTTAGCCTGAATGTCTGATGGTGCTATCTTTGAGGATTACCAGTTTTCAAAACCAGCATATCTTTTCATACAACGTATAACTTAATGTCACATTATATTCTTATTCACAGTTATAATACAGGATGTGCCTACTAACTAATATATCAGAAAAAGGTCTGTTTTGGCAAAGATCTGTTAAATGCTGAAGCATATGGAACACCAATTATTTAAAAATTTGCAGTCACCATTGACCAATTCTGTGGATGTAATTACAACTCATGAGACAGTAAATAATGATGCAGTTTATTGTTTCATAGAATGGTTTGTGTTGGAAGAGACTTTAAAGCTCATCTAGTTCCCTGCTGCTGTAGGCAGGGACACCTTCCACTAGAGCAGGTTGCTCAAAGCCCTATCGAACCTTGCCTTAAACACTGCCAGTGGTGGGGCAGCCGCAGCTTCTTTGGGCAACCTGTGCCAGTCTCTCACCACCCTCACAGTAAAGAATTTCTTCCTCATGTCGGATCTAAACCTCCACTCTCTAAACCTTCATGAATTTATGAGTATCTATTCAAATGAAGTGGTTTTTAAGAAAGCCATAGGCAAAGTTATGCACTTAGGAAGGAAGAACTAAAAGAATACAGTTAGAGAAGAGGAAATTGTGATTTTGCTCAGGCTGTAATCTCTCCCCAAAATCGTTTTCTCCCTCTGCCCTTTTTCCTTATCATTCCTTGCCATATTCAAATGGATGAGTCAGTCATCCCAGATATCTTCTGCCACACAGCAACTGAGGGTGGCAGATATTTTCTTTGATGCAGATGTGAATGAGATTTTATTCTGTTTTCATTAATTTACATTTTGCTTTATAGCAGAAAAAAAAAAGAAAAAAAAGAGTAGATAATAATACGACTGCAAAGCCAACACTACAAGTTCACTTTATACAGTAATTCACAAATGTTAGAGTACCTGTGGCAACCCAAGCAATCAGTTTTTGTGATAGATTTTGGCTGATCTGCCATAAAAGAAATTACAAGTGAAGTGAGAAAAGAGTGAGTGTCTTTGATGGGAGTAAAAAAAAACACCAAAAAACAATCCTCCTCCCCGAAAAACACCCAAACCAAACAAAAATGCCAAATAACTTTCTATATCCCACTTCCTGGTGTGTAAGGCTGCAAGACCAGTTATCTGTTAGTCATACTGGTATGTGACATTCTTATACCTGATTGTATTTTACGAGTTTAATTGAATGTTTTCATACTAATGCAAAAAAAAAAAAAACAAACAACTCAGCCCATTTGCAATGACAGTTTTACAGTGAAATGGCCTTTTTCTGTGGTGATGTATTATTGCTCTTGCAGATCCATTTTCCTGTTAGTTTTTAGAAGGGCATGGTTTTGCCCATTCTTCTATATTAGCGTGGTGTGTATTTCCACTGTGATATTTATATCTTAAAGCTGAAGCTGGTTCCAAGCTAAGAGCCTTCTTTAAGGCATAAAAGGCAGTTTAATGAAGCTTTTCTTTGTCTTTTTATTTTTTTCTCAATCACCTCTTTTCCCTGTAAAAGAATGAAAACTTGTTTATTCTTGGAAAAATTCCGATCAGCTTTTCCATGCCCTCATCAGGTATGCTAGCAATATCATCTTCAAGCAGGCTAGCAGACACTTGGAGGTTAATAGTTGAGATAATAGAGTTTTATTTTTAATTGTGTAGAAACTTCTAAATGACTTAAGTGACTCTTCCAGTGACTCTGTCAAAGAATACCATCACCTAAGCATGCTGCCTCTTTTGGACATGAGCAGCAGATTGGATTTGAGCACCAGTGCCCCCAATAGCTCTGTTGTGAAACCCAGCAATACAAAATAATATTTCGGGGGACATATCCTTGGACTTCAGATAGCACATTCTGAACTGACTGGAACTTCCTGGAATCTGGAGCCAAATGTTCCTGTTCCATTTTAGGATGACGTTCGTGGGTGTCCCACAGACTGCTGACTGACTTGCAGTATTAATTTGGTTTTATCTGTTGCTGTACTTTGGGGTTCAGCTGTCCTGCAACTTTTATGAAAGCACATTCTAGTCAGTAATATGATGGGTAATACCAGCCCTTGTTCTCTCAGCAAAAATATCCAGAGTAAGATACTTGAGCAAAGTTCAGATACCAGTTCCACCCTTGAGTCTTGACACACACTGGTAGATGCTTCCTCTTCTGAGATCGTTTCAGGGAATATAGTCAATGCTAGCTTCCAATATTTTATTTTAACAGGACTTTTAACGACCGCACATTAAAGATATTTTTCCATTTGTCTGACAGGTCAATATCACAACTCACCCACTTGCCTGCTGCTATATATATGTTACTTGCCTTTTGTAAAAGGTGACAGTAACCACGCTGCCTTGCCCCATTGTCAGGCCCATTTCTCCTTTGAGTCACCTAATATGCCTCATACCTAGATTATCTGTGGTAAGGTGAGAAACGTCTGTAGGCTTTTCTCGCCTTATTGTGATCAGTCTGTGACACTGGAAGAATCTACAGTTTTGTCCTTCCGGGTTTTCTTAGTTGTAGCAAATGTGTCGTGAAGCTATTGTGTGTATGTAAGTGGAGGAAATCTCAGTGAAGTCTGGAGGACTTAAAAAATGCTAAAAAAAGATAAAGCAACAACATAGCCATGTCCTGGGGACCTGCCTGTGAAAACTTCTGTACCATTCCTCTGAGGGACCGATTGATTTACGACACTAATCCGTGCACTTGAGAATGACAGAAGGTCATTTGAATGGCCTTGATTTCTTCAAATTTGTTCAAATTCCTTTAACATAGATACTTGGATGTCTGTGATCTGCTACTCTGCCTTTTGGGATATAAACAGTACTAGAGGCTTCATGCTGTTCTGTGATTCTTTTGACAGTGGCACTATGTAAAAGAATTGCCCCCAGAAAGCAGTTCAGGCATCAGATACCTTCTGCATGCTTACCTCTGAGCTGCCTTCTGGCAGATTGATGATTTCATTCCTTCATTCTAGGTCAGAGCTTTCTGACCTAGATAGAGCTATTGGGGCTCACACTCCACTCAGACCATCCTTTGGATTGACCAGAAAATGCAGTCAATAAACTCTTAATGCCGGTTCATGGGCATCTGGCATTGAGAGTAGCTCCCAGGACTTCTATCAAGACAGCTTCTGGAGCACTCCCTGCTTCCTCTTCCGGTCTGCTCTTTTCTTGTCTGCTCGCTGGGTAGTGATTGATTAGGATAGGTCAGTGGGATATGACCTCAAGGCCCAGCCTCATCAAAGCAGGGTGACTTGTCACATTTGCCAGTGCTGTCATTAATTTTGTTGTGAAGGCATTTCCTGCACTTGATACACTCCCTACCCTAGATGTCTTAAGACATGGAATGCTGTCTTTGCCAGCATCTTGCAGTAACTTCACATGAATGCAAATTCCAGGTACGTGTCCAAGAAATCATGAGGTTTCTGATACTTCCCTCAGCAAAACCTTGTAGTTTCCCAGAAATTTTGTCCATAAACAGGCTTCATGAAGAAAGCCTGTTAAGACCTGTGGTTTGAATTTAGGGTGCCCAAAAACTACCAGCGTGCAGGAGGGAGTGACTGAGAAGTGGCAGACTCAGGGAGAATGAAAGCCCAAGATTTTAGCGGCATATGAAGCCATCTTCCGTGTAATTTACCCTTTTCCTCACTCAAGGCTTGGAAGGAGAGATTCAGCGTACTTGCAGGTTGACAAACCATATGTAGATACTGGAAGATCAACATAGAGCAACAGGTGAGCCACCTGCAATGCAGATTGTTGTTATAAATCTCCCAATCTGGTTCAAGAAAAATGTTTTCCCGGCACAGCAGTATCTGAGCCGCAAGAGGTCACTGGTAACAGCACTAAAAACAGCTCCCTGGTTTCCTAGTCCCTTTCCTGTTTTCCCTCTGTCCCTTACATCCTGTGCTTAGATTAGCCAGATATCACCTATGGATAAACTGGAACTAACTGCACCTAAATTGCACCTACTAGCATTGCAACAAGCCACAGCAGGCATGCACCAAGCAACGTTCCTGCAAATCCTCAGCTGACAGAAGGAAGGTATGTGCTGTTCATTTGCACAACGCAACCACCCAGCCAGCAGTGGTCAAAGTCTTCTCAGTACAAGCATGTTGTATTGATTCCAGTGGAGATAACTAACTGGAAAACAGAAGCTTTATCTTACTAAAGCTTTGGACATTTCAGCTTTTCCCTCTCCTTGAACTATAATCTAAGCAAAACCTCTCTCCTGTTTCAGGAAACAGGACAGTGTCAGCATGCCTGTGGGTGACACACAGAGTAAAAACCTTGGCCCATAACTCATCTCTTCCTCTTTAACTGAGAAAGAGCAAAAGTTTGGTTTGGGCTTTTTTAAAAATACAAGAGTATTTAAATATAAAGTATGTGAAGTTGATGTTAGTTCTCCTTTCTGACTGATGTGGATCTGATCTCCTGATGGAACTTCGACAAGTACAGACTACTAGACACTTTTGTATGAACCCCATCTCCTCTGCAAGAACTTGCCCAAGCTGGTTTATTTCCAAGAGATATTCTGGTTTGCATATTTTGGCAATATTTTGTTTTATAAGATGTAATTTATGTTAATATCGCAGCAGGAGTATCCCCCATCTTATCGAGTAAGTCAGATTGTTCAAAAACTAGTACTAATTAAACCAGTAAAAATACTTATTTACCATGATTCAATCACTAATCATCATGGAAACAAGCTCACAAGTATCCTAGGTATGAGACTGTGATGAACTGTTTTGTAACCAGGTATAAGAATACGGTGAACTGATCTGGTTCACTGAGATTTTAACGTAACCCTTGATTTGTAATTTTTGGTATCGTAACACTTGTAGTAGAACAACATGCCACATTTTTCTGGGAAACCAGTAAGAGGTCTAGCTTTTACAAAGTGCTAGGAATAAAAAAGCATGTGAAAATAAAACATCTTTTTGGATGGAAAGATACAGACAGAGAGAAAACGAGAAATCAACAAATTCTTTTTGCTCTCTAGTTTTATACTGCAAAATGTGTGAGAACAAGGTACCCCTTCTCCAAATAAAAATCATCATGCATGTAGCAGCGTGTAAACACTTCCCCTGCCACTCTGTACCGCATGTGACTGCGTGGGCATGTGGTTGACAGGGTTCCAGTGTGCAGGAGCAAAGTTTAAGAGGAATTAAACTAAGAATTTTCTAGGAAGTTCAGGGTGCTCCCTATCATGCAGCTTTTCATTTACATGGTCAAGCACCACTTACACTGGACAGGATTTTAAGTGCTTGGCAGTTGAGTTGAGCAAGATATCACAGTGTCTGAGAAGCCATGCATCTTTAGGCTTCACTCAGAAGCAGCCCTGGGCAGCGGACATGTCTTCATGTCCCCATGCATTTTCTAAATTAAGTCCTCTGCCTGTCTGCATTTAGTTTTATGAGCTCTTTGAATGAACTGCAGAGCTATTAGAGGTTTTCTGCACATCAGATGATGATTTACCGTCCCTCCTATGTAACCTCAGATACTTACGCTCAGATTTATTACTACTACAACTGTTTGCTTGAAGCAAAGCCCCTCTACTCAGACAACCCTATTCTCACTCAAAAATGAATTAAAGATGTTTTGATATATATCTTGGTACATTTTCAGTTCTTTTAATGTTACGACTGCTTATAAACCACCTTTGCTTGAACATCTTGGAAATTTAAGGGCCCAAAGCTTACCAAAACTGAGGGGGGGGGGGGGGGGGGGGGGGGTAAGGGGGAGAGAGGGTGGCAGGAATCTGAAAAAGAAATCTTAAAGATTCCAGGTTTTGAAAACAGGAGGATTTATATTCTATTACAAGCAACAAAAAGGTATTTTTGGTTAAACATGAAACCTAAGCTGTAGTACATGAGCTTATTCAATGAATATCAGAGCTTCTAACCTTGCTACTATTCCCAGCATCCCTGGGGTGACATTAGGCTACATTCTTTTTTAAAAACTATTAAAAATATACAGAAAAGCAAGAGCAATGGTGTCGTGGTTTAAACCCAGTCAGGTAATTCGTTCGCTCACTTCCCCCCCCTTTCTTGCCCTCCCCCTGCTCTCGGAGGGACGGAGAGGAGAATCGAAAAGAATGCAACTCCCACGGGTTGAGATAAGAACAGTTTAGTAACTAAGGTATAACACAAATCACTACTGCTACCACCAATGATAATAATGATAAAGGAAATAACAAGGGAAGAGAATACAACACCTCACCACCAGCCAACCGATAACTCGCCCCCCTCAGCCCGACCAAGCTCTGTCCAATACCTCCTCCAACCCTGCAGTCTCCCAGCCCTTCCGGCTAACTCCCAGTTACCTCCTGGGCATGACGTGCTGTGGTATGGAATACCTCTTTGGTCAGTTTTGGTCAGGTGTCCTGTCTCTGCTTCCTCCCGGCTTTCCCTCCTCCCTGGCAGAGCATGAGGCTCACAAAGTCCTTGGCCAAACCAAAACATCGCTATCAGCTCTGTTCCCAGGCCGAAAGTCAAAACACAGCACTGCACCAGCTACCAAGAAGGAGAAAACTGACTGCTACTGCTGAACCCAGGACAAATGGTCACTGAATCTCATCCAACTATGCAGCAAGGAAAAGGAGCCTTTTTGATTTACTGCTTACCCAGGTTGTATCCAGACTTGTCTCTTTTCAAGGAAATAAGCTCTGAGAGATAGAGAATGGAAAATCAATTCACCTTATCCACAGTCAACTATGCTGACTAAATTTATAGTTACACTACTATATCCCTTTCACACAAGATGGATAAATTGTGTTAATATATAGTATTTTCACCTGAACTGATGGAAAGAGAGGCCCAGAGGACTGGGGGGAAATGAGCTGTTCTACTGCCTTTCAGACAGTTTGGCAGCCACTGTGGGAAGCTGTTTTTTGACCAAAACAGCCCATTGTGACAGGGAAAATACCATTTCCCATCTGGTAAATTTATGTATGAGCTCTACTGCCTATGGTCAGAAGACACGGTAAGCCAAACACTGTAGGTTTACATTTGCCAGCTGAGATAAAGGCCCCTCATTTGACCCAACATTGAAATCACCATGAGTGACTGCAGGGACAGTGTCAATGCATTTGTCCTGATAAACCCATACACAATCAATTGACCAAGCAAGCATTTGCCATTTATTGATGGCGGCCCAGGTAGCTAGGGTAGCATTTCTTACCCTGCTTTAAATTTTTTCCATTTACCATGTTCTATTCCCACTTGCAAGCTCTTGTTAGCTGCTGTGTTATGGAAGGAAGACTTGCCAAAAACTGTTTTCTTTGTGTGAAGACAGTGCACACTTGGTTAAATGAGGTATTAAAAAGGAAAGGAAAACTCTGCTGTCTGGAACACCAACTGGGAATATCATAGCTGATAGGTTAGGATATGAAGGGCAGTGAGTTGGTCTCAATGATGCTTATGGGTCTCTTCTAACTTGAGATAGTCTGTGAGTCTGTGATTAATGACACCCTACAGTATACTTTCCTCTGTTAAAAGTGGCATTTTTGGCTGCTGCTATTCTGACAGCCACATGTGTTAATGACCCATCCATCAGGTGCTCTGGAGGGAGCCTTTCCCAGCTTAATTCTCTGGTCTGCGTAACAGCATATGCCACAAGTGTGCTGTCCACACATTCATCTTTCTAAGTGAGGGCTCAGGCAGCTGCTGCTATGTTATAATTATTATTAACACTCGCAGGAAAGTATGACCTTGCATGTTACTGATCACGGTCATAGAGAGCAAGCAGTTTAAGGTGCAGCAAAACTCTTGTTAGAGCTTCTGGTTTTCACTGCTCCAACGTGCTGCAAAATTTTCTGTCATGAAATATAGCCAAATAATCTGCCCATTTGACGAGGCTCTGGCATACAGAAGTTATTGATTTTACTTTGTGCCAGCAAATTCAGTTTTGCTCTTCATTTCTAGATGAACCTGAGCTTTACCTGATGAGGAAAGAGACCTGCCCCATGCACCCTCACTGTGGCTCAGTAGTGAGAAAAGCAACAGCAATTTCTCTCCAGTTTTCCTAATAAGTCTTCCTGTTCCTTTCACTTGCTGGAGGTGCAGCGAAGACAATACTAATTGCAGAAGCTTCCTGTTTCTCATATGCTTAAGTCTGTTTGGCTCCAGTAGTCTCTTTCATTATAACTGTGATGGGCATGTTTCTCTCCTGCCTCCCTGTTCCCCTCCCCATCATTTAACTAACATATGTCTGTCTAAATTCAGAAACAAAGAATTTTCCATTTTCGCTGAAGGAGTTTAATCCTTTGCTTGTGACCATTTTTGGTTGTTGTTTCAGTCGTTCTTCTTCCCAGCATTTAATGTTGCATCATAGATTTTTAAAGTTGTCTCTCCTAGGAAAGGCTGAGTGGATTGTTTCCTTATGTGCTCCACGGCTCCCATGCTAACTGCTGTCCCAGGTGTTAGGAAATGAATCCTTACAGGGTCAGAAAAAGCTTACAAATAGTCAGTTAAGAGAAAATCAGACTCCTAGACCTACCTTTTTCTGGCATGACTTGTGCAAAATTCCAGCAGTGATAAAGGAGTAGGAGACACGCTCCAACTTTAGCACTTTTCCCGAGTTAATGCCTGTGCTCTTTGAACTGCTGACATCTAATGAGGTCACTTCTCAGTTTTTCTAGAATGTACCCCCTGAACAGGTA